ACACACACACCAGTGAGGGGTCCACACATAGACACACACACACACACACACCAGTGAGGGGTCCACACAGACACACACACACACCAGTGAGGGGTCCACCACAGACACACACACACCAGTGAGGGGGCCACCACAGACACACACACACACACACACCAGTGAGGGGTCCACCACAGACACACACACACCAGTGAGGGGGCCACACAGACACACCCCAGTGAGGGGGCCACACACAGACGTGCATGCATACATAACACACGCAGGGAATGTGTTATTATGTGCATAACATTTTCAGGGAATGATGCTTTATCGTGGTAAAATATGAATAAAATAAAACTTGCCCCTGGTGGCATTCTATTCAAACACTACATTCCATTACCACTCCCCAGTTCTAGAACAACCTGTCACCCTAACATGAAGCGGGTACCCACTATGCCTTCATTCCTCCCCAACTCTAAGTCTCTGTACTGGTCTACATGGGCGCTTGACAATGGAATGGAATAGGTTGTAACCTTTTGTGTCTAGCTTCTCCACTCAGCTTTGTACTTTCAACATTCTTGTTTTGTTTTGTTTTTGAAACAGGGTTTCTCTGTATGCCTTGGCTGTCCTGGAGCTCACTCTGTAGACCAGGCAGGCCTCGAACTCAGAAATCCACCTGCCTCTGCCTCTCAAGTGCTGGGATTAAAGGTGTGCACCACCACTGCCCGGCTCAACATTCTCATATAAAGTGAGGACCCAGTTTTTATGAAACTCTCACCTCATTAGTTTGAGTCCCCACAGGTATGAAATGGAATTGTCCAAGGCTGAATGTTTCTGGTACCAACTGTCCTGCTGCCTTCTCTGATAGTTACTCCCTGGACACAGGTTCCACCTCCTCTGCCAGTTCTCTCTCCCCGATGTGCTCCCTGTCCCTCTGTTATTCCCTCTGGGACTGACTGAGGCTTGTGGGCTCACACAGGGGCTAGTCACCGAGATGAGAAATCATCCTGTGACCCAGGTGATGTAAAGCCACAGAAGACATTCAGGGAGGTCCAGGCAGCCATTCCTGAAGCAGCCAGCTCACCAACTCAGAGATTCCTCCAATTCTCCACTAAGGGACAAATTCCCCTTTGTTGAGGCTGCATTACACCCAGTGCCACCACACACTGCTTCCAAATAACTGTACCAGCCAGGCTGAATGCCACAGCACTGCCATCTGTGGAAAGACCTGGTCACCAGGACAAAACTCCAAGATTGTAATGGTGTTCTTCAGAGTCTCGATCACATAGCACAAACATGCACACGTACAAGACTGGAAACTCCTAAAAATGAGTGGAAGCTTTAACCACTTTTCAAAAATATGGTATTCAGACAAAACCTGACTTCTTCATTACTTTTGGTGTGTATGTGTATTTGTGGGAGGGCACATGTACCACACAATGCATGTAGAAATCAGAGATCAATTCTTGGGAGTTGGTTCTCTTCCTCAGCTGTGGGCTTAGCGAGCACCATCAGGTCATCCGGCTTAGCAGCCAGCACTTGTACTCAATGGGCCATCCTGCCAGCCAAGGCCTGGTTCTGGATGTGCACCAGCATGGCTTAGTTAACACTAATTCCTCACATAGTGTGGAAGAGCCCATTCTAACCTTTCTGAATACCCCATGGAAAAAGACATAGCCAGCTGTCTACCTTGTCTCCACCGCCCTCCCCCTCCCCGCCACACACTGCTTGTGTCTAGAATTTAATAGCATCTTTTAGCTGTATTTTTTTTTAAAAAGATTCTTTCTTTCTCATAATACCATTTATAGTAGTGATAAACAGCATCCTTTCAAACAAACCCGTTCAGGTTTTAAAGCAATTAATTGGAGACAATTACTATGTTAAGCTTTGTGTTCAGGTAGATGAGGGAGGACCAGGAGCTCAAAACCAGCTTTGGTGGTATAGATAGTGAATCTGAGGCTAGCCTGAACTACAGGGAGGCCTGTCCCAAAAAGGAAAAGGGGTGGGGGGGG